ATTCCACCGGGGGACGGGGGGATCACATACGTCTGAGAAGCCCAGCCCCACAGGGAGGGTCTCGAGGCCCCCCCAAACCTGCGACACGATCTGCTCCCCCCTCTACCCCCCCAGAGGCTCCCACCGCCTCCAGCTCCCTCCCCAAATCCGCCCGTCCCGTCTTATCAGGAAGGAATTTCCAGAGATAATGCTCGAAAGGGAGTAGGGTGGGTCCCAGACCCTGCAGGACACTCCCCCAGGCCTCCAAGACCACTGAGTCCCCCCAAAGAGCAGCCGGGAACCCCTAAGCCTTTGACGGCCCCAGCTGAGCCCCCCCCTCGCCATCAGATGGGGACACTGAGGCACGGAGGGATACGGGGGAGCACGCGGGAACACGGGGTGGCCGTGAGGTGACCGGGGGTTGGGGGGCGTTATGGGGATGGGGAGGACACGAGGAGTGGACACTGGGGGTGCCAGGTGACACGGGAGGGACACACCGGGGAGACGTGGGGGGACATCGGGGAACTGGGGGACAGAGGGGGAAGCCGGGAGGGGGAGCACGGGGGGGCGGGGGGACATGGGTGGGACACGTCACCCACCGGGAACGCCCGGAATGTTCCCGATAAGGGCCAGGGTGGGAGCAGCCCCGACACCCCGCCCCTACCCCCGCGCCCTTCAGGGGGTCCCGGGGGGGTCCCCAAAGAGGGACGAGGCCGCTGGATCCCGGGCGGGACCCCCGGGGACCCTCGGGTCCGGCACTTCGGGGGGCCCCCGGGGAAAAGGGAGAAAAAGAGGGGGAAAGGGGGCAGAAAGGGGGGGAAGGGGGAAGACAGGGCAGAACAGGATAAAATTTGGCATAAATAGGGGGAAATGGGAAAAAACTGGGCAGGAATGGGGCAAAACAAAGAGAATGGAAGGGGAAGGAATGGGGTAAAGCAGAGAAAAACATGGTGGGAAAAGGAAATGGGAGAAAAAGGGGGAGGAATGGGGCAAAATGGGCAGAAACTGAAAAAAAAAGGGGAAAACCAGCAAAATTGGACAGAGATGGGGCAAAATCACGCAAGAAGGGATAAATGGGATTTGAATGGGATAAAACAGGGCAAGATCAGGCAAAAAGGGTTAAAGTGAGACAAGAATGGGATAAAACAATAAAATAGGGCAAAAATTAGTAAAATGGGACAGGAATGGGATAAGACAGCAAAATGGGGCAAGACAGCAAAATGTTAAGATTTTGCATAAATGGAATAAAATGAAGCAAAAGGAGGCAGGAATATGGGAAATGGGGAAAATGAGAAATGGGCAAAAATGGGACAAAAATGAGTTAAAGCAAGGCAGGGATAGTGCAAAAGTGGGCAAAAATGAGTAAATGTGACATGAACAGGGCAAAATGGAGCAAAACAGAGTAGGAACAGGGTAAAACGGGTTCTCTGGTCAGGCAGGGGCTGCAGCAGTGAAAAGGTCAGTAGGGTGATGTGGGGCTGACTATGGGGACACAAAAATATGTGGGGCTGAGCTCGCCCCACATCCCACAGTTCTGGGGCCATCTCCTATTCCTTCAGCCCGCACCCCACAGTAATGGGATCGATCCCATCCTTCTGAACACACACCACAAATTCTGGATGAGACATCCATCCCTCCAACCCTCACCCTACAAGTTCCGGGGCTGATTGTCTCTGCCCCCCACTCCACAGTTCTGGGTCATACCCCTTTCCACTCACCCCCCACCCCACAAGTTTTGGAGTTGATTCCTTTTCCCCTGCCCTGCATTCCACAATTCTGGGTCAGACTCCCAAACTTCTGCCTCGCATCCCACGAGTTTTGGGGGTGATTGTTTTCCCTCACACCCCACTCTCCAAGTTTTGGGGCCGATCCTCACAGGAACAAAGCCCTGGGCCGGCTCCAGCCGCACCTTCCCTTCCCGGGAGCGAGGCCGTTGGGAGGTGCCGTGGGGCCGCTCCCGGCTATAAATCCCGGCCACAATTCCAGCCCGGAATTCCATCCGTGCGTCCGTCCGTGCCATTCTCCGGCTCCCGCCGTCGTGTCACCGTCCCCATGAGCTTCTCCCGCCGCACCGTCTATTCCAGCTCCGTCCGCTCTGGCGGGATCGGGACCGCCGGGATCGCCCCCGGCCGCCGCTTCATCCCGCTGGGCAGCGCCGCGAGCGTGTACGCGGGAGCGGGGGGCGCGGGGTCCCGGATCTCCGTCACCCGCACCCTGAGCAGCGCCGGGGGGGCCTTCGGGGCCGGTTATGGGGCCGGTTTTGGGGCCGGCCGGGGGGGCAGCGTCTTCCTGGGGGGCTCCGGGACCGTGGCCAACGAGAAGGAGGCGATGCAGGACCTCAACGACCGCCTGGCCACGTACCTGGAGCAGGTGCGGCGACTGGAACAGGAGAACCGGCGCCTGGAGACCCAAATCCGGGAGTTTATGGCCCGAAAGGGGCCCAGTGCCCACGACTGGAGCCCCCAGTGGGAGCTGATAGAGGAGCTACGGGACAAGGTGGGGGCGCGGGGGGGGGGGTTGGGGTTAAACATTAACGGAGGAGGGAGAGGGAAAGAGCTGAACTTTGTGTCTGTGGGAGGTCTGTAATGTGCCTGGGAGGGTAGAGGGAGCCATGGGGGAGGTCTGTAAGTCCCCGTGGGTGGGGGGCTTTGGGGGGTTTTGCTCCCCGCGGAGCCGTTTTTGCGTGGGGTGAAGGGACGTGACCAAGGCCACCGCGGTGGAGCAGTGTCGAAGGAGCCCCTCCTCCATTACCCCTATTTTTGGGTAAATTAGGCCCCCCCAGTACCCCCAACGCCCCTCCCGGAGCCTCCTCAAGGTGACCGGCACCTCTCCCCCGCCCCGACACCTAGGGGCCCCCCCGCCCCGCCCCCACCCTGGGTAATCGCAGCTTTTCCGGGGCGAGGCCCTGCAGGGAAGGGGGGCCGGGAAAATCATCCTGCCACGGTGACGGTGCCACGGTGACGGTGACACGTGTCCCTGTGTGCGTCCCCGT